TACTTACGTTAAAATTTTATTCGTTTGTTTGTTTACTTTTTCTTTTCTTTTTCTTTTTTTTTTTTTTTTTTTCCCCTTTTGCGAGGGAAAACGTGAATGGCGGCAAAAATGACGGCGCGTCATCGGACAAAGGTAGAGGGCCGATCACGAACGAGTTCCGGCGTCGTTTTATCGATTGCCTGTCCGCCGGCCCTTGTATCTTGTCCAGTTGACCACCGATTAACAGAGGCCCTCTGTCACGATAAAACCGTGTCTAAATGTCTATCTACGCTATTACAATACGTTTCTTTGCATTCGTGCAGAGAACAAAAGGATAAAGGATAATTCTTTTCTCTTCTTTTTATCCATTATTATCTCTCGTCTTAATGACTCATTTCAAACGAATTTCGTATTTTTACACACTCGAGAGTCGTCTCTTCTAGAAGAATAAAAAGAAAAAAACCATCGTTTAACGATATATTTATAACCGTAACGACCGTGATAGAAGCAATTGTTGGGACAAGGATGACGTAACCCTCCGTATTTGCCCATTTTCGAATCATCGTGCGAGAGGGAAGAAAACGGAAAGGAGAAAGAGAAAAGGCGCTCGATAAATCGAATAATAAGGACAGGAAAGCGCGAGCCGGAAGCTCGATCGTTCCTCCACCGACGAAAGTCTCCGTTTACAGTCACTTTAGCATCGCTTATTATCCACACCAGCCATAAGAGAGTAGACTTTGCCCCCGATCAGACCGTCCTTTGTTTTCATCCTTGCGGTTCCTCGATCGTAAACACCGCCATCAGGATTATCCTCCTCGTGTCCACCGCATCCATTGTTTCTTCCCTCCCCGTCCAACCAAGGGAGCTTTTTCCTTTTATCGAGCTCCATTTTCCCTCCAACCGCCACGTTTCGACACGTTCTTTCGTACGTAATAACGAAAACCGTCGATCGAATCGACGAAAGAGGACACTTTACTCGTGTCGTTAATATCATTGTTATTATTACCGATTATATCCCCTTCTTCGTATCGCGTTAAAATCGCACCTAATTAATTATACCCTGTTATCCTCTCCTCCCCTTTTCTTACGGACGAGAGCAACGAATCTTCGAACGCGCGAGCCTGAAAAATAAAAAGAGAGAGGGGGGAGGGGGGGAAGAAGGAGAGAAGCTTCGCAAAGAAGCTCGAAAAATACATCCGATATCCCTCTCCCGTCAATTACTCGAGGAGGAAAGTAATAATGGAAACTAGGTGTATCGTTGTATTAAAAAAGGAAGAAGGAAGAAAGGGAAGAGTGGAGAGAGAGAAATATCGGTCAGGTTGGCGGCGTGACGGGGCGACGAATCGAAGGCATACAACTCGACGATTCAAGCGTTTAGAGTCGGCTAATACTTTACTCGAGAGATTCGTAAACACACACGTACACACACGTACACACACACACACACACATATATAAAGAGAGAGAAAGAGAGAGAGAGGAGAGAGGCATCGACGAACGGGCGGCGCGTTCCAACGTTAGATCGGAGAGAGCACCCACCTGTACGCCGGGTCTTTATCGAGCCACCAATTGTTTGCGGAATGAAAATATTGTCCCTGTAAACAAGTGGCTACATTGTGCCAAGCGAGCGCGGGCTTCGTTCTTCGTTACAACAAATCACTCCCCTCCTCTCTCTCGACCCTCTTCCTCCTCCCTCCCTCCTCCCTCCTCCTTCCTCCTTCCCTTCCCTCCTCCCCCCCAAGAGCGGCACAAGTGCGCAATCGAGTGCCGTTCGTTTCGATTAGTAACCGATCCTTAATCCGCGATTAAATAACGATTTGCTATTTGACCTAGATTAGAAGCGTATCTTGAACGTTCGCGCCGATCTACCAGGATCTCTCTTTAGGCTAGGGACTTTTTCTTTTCTTTTTCTCCTCTCCTCCTCAGAGTAGAGTATAATATACGGTTGAACACGAACGGCTTCGAATGAGATAAGTTTCGCTCGTAGAAATGAAGCGAGAGATTGTTTATTTATTTATTTTGTTTTGTTTTTCGTGGAATTTGTCGCAGAATCGTTTCCCCCCCCCCTTTTTTTTACGCCAATTATTATCCGCTGAAATTTATTTTCGGTCTGGGACGTAATACTTCATCGCGGTAGGTTTTATTGCGACCTGGAATTTTAACAACTTGTTTGCGCGTGATAAAAAAAAACCGGCACGAACCGCCACCAAGAAATTCGCGTCGCGAAGAAAGAAAAGAGACGCGCTGTTGCGGGATGAAGAGTTTAAAAATAATTTGGAATCGATCCGAACGATTGTAATTATGAAAAGCTCGAGTTCCGATCGAGTGCAATGATATGATATAACACGTTGGTGTTAAATAAATGAAAAGTTTCAATTGTAAACATTCCGATCGAAACTTTTGATCGATTCTTCTCCAACTCCTTCCGTATTATTATCGGTAAACGGTTTGAAATATTCTGATAAGCATTCCTTTTTGGTCGAGGTTCAACCAACGTTTGACCACCACATGTTTGAAGTGGCGAAACTCGCGAGTCGAGTGTCTTCGACTCGATAAAAGTGTTTTGTCATTTATACAAAGAGACGAGGGAGGCTGGATCCTACGAATGGCTACCTGGGCCCACGTGGGTGGTCTACTCCTGTTTTCCCCCTTATTAACACTCGTCGATACTTTTGTTACGCGGCCGCTGCTCGACCCGTGCACGAAAATTCTGCTGATTTTTATTCATGAAAATGCTCCGTCGAAAAATGCAATACTCGATGTTTGTAAATTTTCAGAGGAGACAAGACAAGAAAATCGACTGAAAAGTCGGTCGAAGGGGATCCTCCCAAAATTCCCTCTTTCTCGGCTCGCCCTAGAAAAATATCCGGCAACGTAAATACCTGTGGCGCGATTACGGCCACGGAGCGAATGAGGGTTTGTTGTTTCAAGCCTTTGCGAGACAACAAACCTCCACCCCCGTCGAGAAGTCAATGTTTCGCGGGGAAAGTCCAAGAAAATCAGGTGCATCCGCGGTCGGGTCACGTCCGAAAAACACGCCCGAAATTTACTCGAAATCATCACGCGAGAATGCAGGCGCGAGAAATTAATAGGAAAACTCTCGTAAATTATCGTATCGCGTGTCGTGGCGTATAAATTACGAGGAAAGAAGGGGGGGAACAAAGAGGTGGATTTGGCAAGAGTTCGAACGTCGAGAACGTCTTGCGACGAAGAAAATTTAAAGTGAACCCGTGTGTGAATATCGTAAATCAAAGATAAGAAAACTTGGTTTATCACCTCTAAGACTTTTGTTCTAAAAAAAAAAAAAAAAAAAAGGAAGAAAAAGAAAATAAATAAATTCATTTCTCTCTTTATTGCGCTCGTCTCGTCTCGTCGCTTAGAAAAACAACAAGAGGCAAGGCCTGGTTCGAGAAGTCGAAGATCGACTCGGAGAAGATACTTGTTCGTAGGTGTGATCGAGCGATCCGTGTCTGTGAATATAACGCAGAACTGGTGAAACGTGTTCGAACGGCGTTAAACCCGTGCAAATCTTGACCCGTGACTTGGTAAATCGCTGTCACAACATTTGCGCTCGAGGAGAGCGTGAACCGCATTAAGCACCGGCATAATCGGGTCAAAACTAATTTCCCCGGCTCGGGGAAAACCCCACAAGTTCCTCGCACGTTCGTTCGAGTCTGCTGATTTTTCGACCTCTCTCTTTCGCTCTCTTTCGACCCCGTTCATCCCGAGAATTTCTTTTTTCTTTTTTTTCTTTTTTTCTTTTTTCGTATACAGAATCCATGGATCTAATTTCCATTCAATGTTTATATATATATCGTTCCAACAATCGACGATCCACTTCACCAAGAATTCTCAATCCTCCGGTTCTTCGACACCACGACTCGTCCTCGAGAACGTGCGGGAGACGAGTCTATTATTTTTAGCCGAATCGAGGGGAGGGGGCGGTCGGAGATAGGCCGACGGTCGATCCGGAGGGCCGCAAATCTGGGAAAAGGCCGACGAGGCACGCACAGCACGTGACTCTTTTTCGAGGGTTTGGTCTCTGCGCCGTCTCGAGCACGATAAAGCACACGCGGTCTATCGTTTTTTAAGTGACTCAATTTCGCCACCCTGCATCCACTTACGCCTCCCCGCTCCGTTTTCATCCCCGTGTAATTTGCTCGAGAAATGTGTCCGAAAACCGAGTTGTTCACTCTTCCACGCGGCAAGGAACAAACACGATGATCTCTCGCGACACGATGATACGCAAAATTACGAATATACGTAAGAATATACGTATAGAAATTTTCCAGATTAATTTAAATAATTATTTAATTTCGAGGAGAAACTTTGAGAAACTTTGCTCTACCAGAGACTTGGCAGAGGCTTACGATTTCACGATAATTTTAAGATAACCTAGTTCGGTTATATCTTCGCTCGTTTCGTTTAATCCAAAACATTCCGTAGATTTAATTCCAAGTTGGCAAAACGTGGTCAAATTAAACGGGACGAATTTCCTTTATTTTCCGATTATTCTCGTTTCGATCTCTCGGCTCGATGACTTCGTCCAAGATGAAAAACAACGTTCCTCCCCCCTCGAAAGCATCGATTATAGGGTACATCGATTGGTCAGTTAGTTCACTTTTTCACCGTAAATAAAACAAATAATTCCGAGAAAGAACTTCGAACCTATTGATTCGGTTCACGAGAATACGACGATAATTCGACTTTATCTCCCGACACCTTATCTTCCCTATTGCTATCTTTCGGTTTCTTGGCGCGGCGTGAGCGATATGTCTCGGTGCGAGAAAAAGAAAGAAAGAAAGAAAAAAAAAAAAAAAGGTAACAAACAGATGAAAAAAGCGAGCAAAGCTCGTCGAAATCGCGGCTCGCTCGCTCAGCTTGTTTGTCATGGCGAGAAATCGGTAAATATTTGCAAGTAATAACCGAGTCGCTGGCAGGATCAATAGAGCGCACCACAATTGCTCGACGACGCCCGCCCAGAGTCCTCCGTACCCCCTCGAATCGGTTGCGCAAACTTTTTAACCGGTGTACGTTTTCACGCTCTGCACCGACCACTGCAATTATTCCACGCTTCTTCCTCTTCCTCTTCCTCTTCTCTTGTTCCTTCCTCCATGGAACGATAATTTTCGACCAAAACGAAAGTGAAGTGGTTTCGGATGTTCCTTTTCTCTCGAAACTCGAAACAATTTGTTATTTGAAAGAAAGAGGATTATTGGATCGTGTTATTATCCGTCGGATGGGACGGAAAACTTGTCGAACTCTGGATAAAAATAAAACGATGATCTTTCCCTGTTTTGTTCCGATCCGAGAATCGTTTTGGAAAAATCGTAGCGTAAAAGTCATCGTGAATCATCGAAACGAAACGTTTTGCAGGACAATCGATCGACAAACAAGTCGCGACGATAAGTCGGCGTAACCGGAACGAGGATAAAGGAGATCGTAAATCGTGAAACGAATCGAAGGGGGGCCAAAGGTTTCGAGCGGTAACGTAACCTGTTGAAACTATAATGGACGTTTTCCTCCGTTTTACAATCTTATTTGTAAAGCTGTGACGGCCACGACGGCTGAATTAGTCATCGGAGGAACAAGGCCCAAGATCCTTGCTTTGTTCGCAAGCAACAACCTTATCTCTCTTGTTTAATGCCAAAGTACTAAAGTTAGTCACACGTTAGAAGGAAAAAATTCTTCTTTTCTTCTCCCCCAAATAGAGAGACGCTATCTTCCCGATGACTTTGTCATTGTTTTCCTAAGGAGAAATTCGATTGTCAAGCGCGTTTCCTTTTTTCCAATCGAATCGCGTCAACGGCAGGGACGAATAAGCGAGCAAGGAAACGACGAAACCAAGGAAAGTTGGAAAAATCTTTGCGCCAAACTTTCCACGCGAATCGTGACGATTCTTATCGCGGATAAGATAGCCTAAAAATTATCCGATATTATCCGGTGGAACGTAACGGAATCGAATCAGTCGGAATCATAAACGTTTAACGTATAAAGAGGCGAAATAAGTAGGAACGGTGAAACGATATTCCTAACACGTTAAGAAAACAGGTCTACACTAGCGCAAACATCGATTCAGAGAATCTGTACATACGTACCAGTAAACATTTCTTTATAAATATTTGATCGCTAATATTGAACGTGTTTAATGTTCCATCTTCATTAGTTTCACGTTGTTCGCTTTTATTTCCACAAGTTGCGAGTACCTTTAATCGGCCGACTTACAACTTTTCGTTACTAATATTTACAATCCCCGTTCAAATCGTATTTTTACTACGCGTGTAAAAATACCGATCATTTCCTCTTCCACCTCTCCAGTAATTTTATCTTCTCCTTATCGCAATTACAAAATGCAATTATTATTGCGGTTATTTTTTTTCACTTCATCGACGCGTAATTACGAATAGATAGAAAAATAAAATTAATATGGAGAGATAGCTCGACAATTACGTTTCGTTCGAACGGAAGATTTTCCTTCGATATTTTTATCGAAATAAAGGGCGATCCTTGCTCGCGAGGCTTGCTCTCGGTATATATGTATAAAACCCGGATCGATTGTACAAACAAGAGAGCGAGCGACGGTGTGGCGTGTGCCCCCTCCCCCTCCGATCTTTCGTTAAATTTCCGTTTCATCGTTTCCGTGCAAACGTTTCCTCCGAAAAAGGTAAAAGTTTTAAGCAGGCCGACCCGAAAAACCTTCGATTCTCCTCGTCCACTGACATACCGATACCTTCCTACTTGCCACCGTTCGAAAACATATCTCTGTTTAATCGAGAAACGACATCGGGGAAAAAACTCGTTCTTTCTCGTTTATTTTCCATTTTTTGCTTCTTTCTTTCTTTTTTTTTTTTTTTTGTCTTCCTTCGGGGAGGAGCGTTTGTTCGCGCTTTTATTTTATTTTTTTTTTTTAGGGGGATGTTCCGTCGTTGTTAATAAATTGGCTGCCCGTCTTTGGGAAAAATTCCACTTCTTCTTTCGCGGGAGAGGAAATTTGTGTTCCGTTTAAAAATCAATCGAAATATCGTAATATCTTCTCCTACCGGTATCGATAAAAGTTTGTCGAGGGAGGCGGGTGGAGGGAAGAAGGGTGGGTGAGTGCGATCGACGAGGAGGGCAGGTGTTGGACGACCGATCAAACTCGCCTCGAATTGGCACCGATTTCTCGACTTGGCGGCAACCAACCCTCCATCCCATCATCCGTTTCGCTCAATTTTAATAATATCCGCGCACCGTGACTCGCACGATTTCCACCCACGGCTTTCAATTATCAACCCGGCCACCAAGTACGCTCCTGGCCGAGCGAAATATCGATCCTCGTTCCACCCTTCGCCGGAAGTGGATGGAACGAACGAGGAATCGAACGAGTCACGATATAATCCTCCCCTTCGATTGCAATTGGTCGGGTAACGAAAATTGCGTATATTCTCGTTTATCTCGAGAGGAAGGAGAGGATAAGATAAAGCGGAGGGATGTGTTTAAAAAGGCCGTAAAGGTAGGATGAGAGACGACGCGCGCGGATAGGATTTAGCCCGCTAGGAACGGTTAACAGGAAAGAAGGGAATTATTATACCGTTACTGTGCACATGGTCGGCCGCGAGAACGTCGTTTCGATGGATAATCGCCGCATTAGAGGATCGGAAGGTAAGGCGAGGCCCTCCTCCCCCCCCGTGTGCAATAAAACGTTTGGTTGGAAAGTACCTGACTGCGCCGCGGCCAGGTAGCGGAAGAGACTCTTTCGAGAGAGAGAGAGAGAGAGAGGAGGAAGGAACGTGACGAACGGAAGGGAAC